TTAAAGTGATTTTATAACATATTTATGTTATAATTTTCAAATAAATAATTATATTTGCTCTACTCTGTATTGAGCACTCTTTTAAGAATAGTATTTGTTGGTTATTGGAATTTATTCTGTATACACCAATCCTATACTTGGGTATATATATATATATATACACTATTAAAGGAAAACAAAAAACCTTTAATGGAACCAATGGTCAGCTTGCCAATACCTAAACTCTTATCCAGATACAGTCATGAATGATGACAATACTGAAAAAAGTAAGAGAAAAAAGGCCAGAAAGCAAACTTATCTACTCTGTAAAGTGCTCAAAGCCTAGATTGAGCAAAAGACACTTACCAATCCTATAAAAAGATGGCTCTAGTTGTGACTCAAGTTTCACACAACACGATCTACAGGTGACTTGAATGGCTATATACATGCTGGTAATAATAAAACAGTGCTCAATGTAAAATAACAGAGCTAAAATTTATACTAATAATGAATATACACTTGTCCATCACTGTTTGGTGCAACTCATGCATGTGGCAATCATCAGGCACAAACTGAAGATTGTTCGTTGTAAAATTTTAATATTAATATTTATATACTACTGTTAAGATAGTGAAGCTGTTCATTTACTTACAAAAAAATAATATATATATATATTACCACACAACAAATGCAAACATACATATTCATGTTCAAAATATATAAAAACATGCATATTATAAATTAACTGATTTAAAATATGATTTGTTCACTACACAGGAATTACAATGTTTCAAAAACCAAAGCTAAAAACTTCAAATTTAATTATATAATTAAATTAAAAGCATTAGTTTCATCTTCAAGCGAATTTTGGATTCCAAAATTTGCTTAAAGATGAAACAGAACTAAAGTTTTTAATTTAATTATATAATTAAATTTGACGTTTTTAGCTTCGGTTTTTGAAACATGGTAATTCTTGTGTAGTGAACAAATCATATTTTAAATCAGTTAATTTATAATATTTATGCCCTGTAATTTTACACTGAGCACTGTTTTGTAAAAATAAAAATGTCAATAAGAACACTGGATTATATATCTTACTGTTCTTTCTTTTTACTATAATATATATATATTATAGAAAAACATGCATGCATATATATATATATATATATATACATATATATATATATATATACACACATACACAGAGTAGAATCCCTCATATCCGGAGTGCCTCATATCTAGAATCCCACATATCCGGACATGATTTTGATGTGTATATTTGAACTATTTGGGTGATGATATGTAACTGATTTGAAATTTCTGTTTTTTAGGAAATTTACTTTGGATAATTGCTTATGCTTATTTCACTTTAATGGTTTGTATTGATGCAAAAGATGATAGGAGGAAAAGGACAACTTTGGAGTTATCGCAAAAAGTGGAAAATTTTAAACAGACTAAACACTGGTGAAAGTTCATTATAACTAATGGCTGAGTTCAACATAGGAAAGTCAACATTGTATGATATAAAATCTTCAAAAGAAACTATCCTCCAGCGTTCACACTGTCACACTGAACAAAGAAATAAAAACATGATTGTGATGCAAGCGGGACTGAAATTGAAGAAGCTATTGAAAAAGTTGTCAGTTTTATGGAAAGAAATCCAGCATTTAGTTATGACGATAGCAATAATGAACGTAGAGTTAAAAAGTGTCTTTTGTTTAAAAAATTTCAAGAAAAAAGCAAAACAAAATGTGGAAAAAGTTGAAAATGACATTAGAAGAGAAAGAATCATCATGCAACAGTGATTAAAAAATCCTTATTACATTATTTGTTTTGCATACGTGGCATATTTAATTTAATGAATTTTCATTAATGTTACATAATTTATTTCTTTTTCTTCAATTGTTAAGTGAGAAACTTCTCAGTTAACTTACTGCTATATACATTAAGCGTTGGAGAAAGACTAGCCACAAATGTACACGAATGGCAAATGTAACCTTGTCTACATGGCAACACAACACCATCTACTATAAACCTTCTTTAAACTTAACTAAAAAATGAATGATTTACAGATATATGTTTATATGGATTTTTGTCCTTGTTTTGGCGTGAGGAACCCATTCCCAAATTTTGTAAACATATTTTTGATACACCATATATATATATATATATATATATATATATATACACACACATACATACATATGCACTTAGTTACACTCCAATATATCCTGTAAATATATATAAATATATTCTCATATCCACATATACAAATATATAAGAATATGCATCCACACCTACACACATTTGTACATACAAATATGATATACATATTCACATGTACATAAATACACACATATATATATATATATATATATATATATATATATATAATATGTCACTGTATGTTTAGATCTATTCATAAAATATATGTAAAAAATATAAATAAATAAAAAAATGGTAAATTTGGATGAGAATTTCATGAAATGGTAAATAATGAAGACATTCTGGGAAATGTTTACTTTGATATGTCTTCCTAGTGAACTGGCATTCTCAGAAAAAGAATTTCTCTTTTGATGAACAAAATGTACATCTGTGAGGTAAAATATGATTCCTCTTATTCATAAATTTTGTCATAGAAATTAGATTTGAACTAATTTCAACTTGGTTTTTATTTATGAAAATTTTGAATAAATAAAAGTAAAAACAGTTGAAATTAGTTACAATCTAATTTCCATAATGACACAGTTACAGTAAAAATCAAGTTTTCATCCACTTAACAGGAACAATGTTTTGTCAGGCCAACAGAGAATTTCATTCTTGGGAAATAAAATTCTTTTTCTCTGGACATCACTTCATCAACGAAACATACAAAAATAAAACATTCTTATTGATTTACAATAAATAAACACACACACACATATATATTTCAAATTTTTTTTTTACATATTTACCATATATATATATGCACTAATCATCTTTGCTTGATCATCGATGCACTCTGTAGCTGAGAGGTCAAAGCATGTCAAATCTAATAATGGTTTCCCCTAGGGGATCACATATTTGAATTCTGTTGGAGATTGCTTATTTTTCGCTAATAAGATTTCTCAAATATTCAGGCCAGTAGATAAAAATAAATAAATACACTGTTTAATAAATAAATGGAGCATCTACTCAAATATGGGTATCCACTAAAAATCTGTTATAATAATTAATAAGAATCCATCAATTTTTTTTAGAATTTGCATTGTTTATGTTAGCATATGAAACTGAGCAGATACGTATTTTTTGAGAGTAAGGAAAATTTGCATATAAAGCCACTATTCAACATTACTTGACCATTGACACACTTTGTGGCTGAGAAGTCTAAAGCAATGTCAGATCAAATAATGGTTTTCAATGTCTAAGTTGGTGAATTCTGCCATAATCCTTGCCTTCTGTTCATCTTTGATGTTACAAAAAGTTTTGTTGGTCTCTTGCTCAACTGCACCCCACACATAATAATCAAGAGGGTTGCAGTCTGGGATATTAGGTGGCCAGATGTAAGGAGTGATGTGACCACACAAATTGTCTGACAGCCATGACTGGGTTCTCTTGCTTGTGTGACATGGTGAAGAATCCTGTTGCCAGACATAAGGTCTTCAAGTAGCCACCCTCTTGACCCAGGGCAACATTACCTCGTCAAGGCAGTTGGCGTAGGCCTCTGTGTTGAGACTGAGGCCCTGTGGAAAGATGAATGGAGGCATAACTTCACCATCACCAGAGTTCACTCCAAAAATCATGATGCTGACTGGATATATCATCCAACTCTTATGGAATCCTCTGCACTGTTCTCAGATTGACACCCAAACACTCTGAAATGTTCATATTCGAGATCCTGGCACAAATAATCCAAGCAGTACAGCATGCTATTTCCAAATTTCTGGTGGAGTAAATTGCATCATGGTGATCTTTGTACTACAGACAGTGCACAACTTACCTCACTACTATATTGTACTGTTGACAAAATCAAAAATAAACAATGCACATGCACAAAATTAAAAAATATAAAATGGTGACAATTTACCCATCGTGTCATGTGTGTGTGTGTATCTATATATATATATGTGTGTGTGTATATATATATATATATATATATATATGTGTGTGTGTGTGTATATACACACACACACACACACACACAAATATAGGTGTATATTGGGTTCATTATATTCACTTACATGCAAATACCATTGGGAAAGGTCTGAATCTACCTCTTCTCTCCCTAGCTATGGGTTAATTAGTAAGACTTGTATCATTAAATCATTTTTTCCCAAAAATTCTTCCAAGGCTAAAAATATTTTCTGGCTTTAGATGACATGGAAAGGTTGATAAGCCATAAAAAACAAATCAATCACTTTTATTTTCCATGGATTCTTTAATAATTTAAACATATTCATTCTATATTTAATGACTGAAATATATTTATTATAGATTTGCAGCTAATCTTACTACCCATGGATCCTTTAATGACTGCATTAAGATTGAAAACCTATTTGTAATTAAAAAAAATAATGATTTGACAATACTGGAGGCGGTATTTAGACATTGATAATAGTTATGCTGCTTCTTCTGCAAATACAATGCTGCATTACTAACTGGGACCATAACCGATGGCACCAATCTAGTTGCAAATGCTAATGGAATCAATGTTCTTTAAATAATTGATCAAACCCTTTTTTTTCTACTTGCACAGATTGTGTTGTCAAATGAAAACAAACAAGTGAGAGGCAACAAGCAATGATTGATTTCAGCTATCATCCATTGTGTAATCGTGACTGCCTGTTTGATTTTTGCTCTACAGGCAGGAATTTTAGTGGGATAGGAACATTGATGCAAGTGGCATTGGGGAGGATGTGGTCGTTTGGAAGAAGAGATGAATGAGAAAAATGGGTTGAAGATGCCATATGCACATTAGTTCCACACCTTCACTTGCAAATCTGTGTTTTCCTTTTCGTTTTCTTTTAAATAGTGCAAGGTCATTAATTGATATAGAGAAGGAAAAAAAAAGTAGGGGTGGTGACTAAAAAGATGACAGAGAGAGAAATAAAAAAGCTATAAAGAAAGAAAGAAAGAAAGAAAGAAAGAGGATGTGAATTATAAGTACAAGAAATAGTTAAGAAAAAAGGGAAAAATAATAAGAGAGGGTGTAAAAAGAGAGGAATGGGAATGAAAAAAAGAAAGAAAAAAGAAATCAGAGAAGAGAAGGAAAAAGAAGAAAAGAGAAAAAGGTAAAGTGGGAAGGAAATAAAGAGCAAAAATAATGAAAGGGAAAGAAAATAAAAGGACAAGAAAAAAGGATAAAAAACAAGCAAATGAGCAAAAAAAGAAACAAGGAAAAGAAGGAGGGAAAGAGAATAAGGAAAAGTGAGGGAAAGAGAATAGGATAAGTGAGGGAAAGAGAATAAGGAAAAGTGAGGGAAAGAGAATAAGGAAAAGTGAGGGAAAGAGAATAAGGAAAAGTGAGGGAAAGAGAATAGGAAAAGTGAGGGAAAGAGAATAAGGAAAAGTGAGGGAAAGAGAATAAGGAAAAGTGAGGGAAAGAGAATAAGGAAAAGTGAGGGAAAGAGAATAAGGAAAAGTGAGGGAAAGAGAATAAGGAAAAGTGAGGGAAAGAGAATAGGAAAAGTGAGGGAAAGAGAATAAGAAAAGTGAGGGGAAGAGAATAAGAAAAGTGAGGGGAAGAGAATAGGAAAAGTGAGGGAAAGAGAATAAGGAAAAGTGAGGGAAAGAGAATAAGGAAAAGTGAGGGGAAGAGAATAGGAAAAGTGAGGGAAGAGAATAGGAAAAGTGAGGGAAAGAGAATAGGAAAAGTGAGGGAAAGAGAATAAGGAAAAGTGAGGGAAAGAGAATAAGGAAAAGTGAGGGAAAGAGAATAGGAAAAGTGAGGGAAAGAGAATAAGGAAAAGTGAGGGGAAGAGAATAGGAAAAGTGAGGGGAAGAGAATAGGAAAAGTGAGGGGAAGAGAATAGGAAAAGTGAGGGGAAGAGAATAGGAAAAGTGAGGGAAAGAGAATAAGGAAAAGTGAGGGAAAGAGAATAAGGAAAAGTGAGGGGAAGAGAATAGGAAAAGTGAGGGGAAGAGAATAGGAAAAGTGAGGGGAAGTAGTAAAAAAAATGTATGTTGGGAAGTATGAGAGAGAAAAAGAGAGGAGAGGTTCTTAAGTTGAAGAAGAAACAAAACTGAATAAAGAAAGAGCAAAAGAATGAAAAGAAAAAAGAATAGGAGAGAGAGAATCTATACGAAATGCTTCTCCTAGCAAAAGGAGGAAAAGAGGAAGAAGTTTAAAATTAAAAGAGAAATGAAAAAAAGGAATTGAAAGAGTGATAGAAAAGCATGAAATGAAAAAAGACAAAGTGATGGCTAAAAAGAAAAGGAAAGAGTTTGAAAAAGAGGAAGGAGAAAAAGGAAACTGAAAAGACAGAGAATGAAAAATAGGAATTAAAAGAAAGAGTATGAATAAAAAAATAGACAAAATGTATGAAATGAAAAAAACCAAAGATAAGGTTAAAAAGAAAGGGGAAGAGTTTGAAAAAGAGAGATTTGTTTTTTACATCTTATCAACCTTTTGCCAGTTATTTAAAGCCTGAAAATATTTTTATAAAATAAGAAGTTTTTGGAGATAATAATGATTTACTGACACAAGTTCTACTAATTAACCCATAGCTGTGGGGAGAAGAGGTGGATTCGTACTTTTCAAAAGGTTATTTACACATAAGTAAATATAACAACCCCTACTGGATTTAGAACTTTCAATTTTGAGCCATTATCCCTTACATCATCTCACATCCATGCTTACAGCACCTGGCATTCCCAAGCGGTCACCCATCTTGGTACTGACCATGTCCAATGTAGCTTAACTTTAGTGATCAGATGGGAACTGGTGTTTCAACGTGATATGGCCATAAGCAGTTTGAAAAAGAGAGAGGAGACAAAGTAAATTAAAGAGAGAGAGAAGAGGAAAAAGAGAAAGAATGAAAAATAGGAATTAAAGAGCGTGAATAAAAAATAGGGGAAAAATACAAAAATGATTGACAAAAAGGCTAAAAAGAAAAGCAAAGAGTTTCAAAAAGAGGGAAGAGAAAAAGGAAATTAATGAAGGAGAGTTAAAGTGAGAAAAATAAAACACAAAAAAGGTAGCAGGAAGTTGTGGAGAGCTATGATCACCAACATCCAGAAAGAAGACAGCACATAGAAGAAGAAACAGTCTAAATTTATTCCAAGGTGATAAAAACAAAAAGTAAACAAAAGAAAAACAAAATGAGAAGGAAATGCTGATAGATAAATGGAGAGAAAAGGGGAGAGTTGTAATATAAGAGAAGGTAGAGAATGCATAAGACTGTGAATAAAAAGAGAAAGAAAGGCAGATAGTTGAGGAGAGAGAAAAAAGGAGAGTCATAATAAGAAAAAAGCTAGTGAATGCATAAGAGGAAGGTGAAAGAAAGAAAGACAGTTGAGGAGAGAGGAGAGTCACAATAAGAGAAAAGATAGTGAATGCATTAGAGGAAAGTGAGAAAGAAAGACAGATAGTTGAATAGAGAGAAGGAAGGTGAAAAGAGAAAACAAAACAGAGTGCTAACAGAATGCAAGGGTTAGGAAACAGAAGTTGAATAAATCAAGAATTAAAAAGATAAACTGGGAGAGAGAGAAAATTGGATAGTGATTAAAAAATAACAACACTAATGACTTTTACAATGTTTGTGTTAAAAGCAAACAAAAAAAGACAATCTTTATACATTAGCTGCCATATTTTTTTCAGTTGTTTAACCTTGAAGTACAAAAATGCAATAAAATCTACACAATTTTTTGGAAAACAATTACAAACACTGGCCAACATTACAAACATCTTCAACACTTGTTTATAGATGGGAGTTCAAGATTTTCAACAATACACTGTGATGTGCTGAGAATCTAAAACACTTTTGTAAAAGTGAAATTGGCTGAAATCCAGTTGGAAAAAGATTCACTGTCAATGGTTTGTAAACAAATATTTTCATATCTGCCTATATTTCTGAAATGAGGTATTGTAACTATTTACACTATTTACATTGTTTGGACTTTTGTCCTTGTCTTTGTTGTCCTACTCATAACGTTTCAGCCATTGTATGCTCCAGCCTTCTTCAGGGACTAACTAAATTTCTGAAATGTGGTATTGTAACTATTTTGACAATTTAAATTGTTTGGAATGTTGTCCTCATCTTTTTTGCCATATTCATGACATTTCAGCTGTTGTACACTCCAGCCTTCTTCAAGTGAATGGACTATCAAACTGAGCCCTTTATTTCATCCAGCAGTGTTGATTGTTCTAGTTTCATGCCTCTTCTGGATGTCTCAGTTATCTCCCTTTAACTAAACTCTCTCAGTTTTTGTTTACTTTTGCAGTAGCCAGGTAGTGAACTCACAACTCTTTGGGTCAAGTCAGTGGATCCAACCAATGCTTTTATTCACTGGGCCATGTCTTCTTGATTCCAGCCACCTGAAGAGGGCTGGAGCATGCAACGGCCAAAATGGCATGAATATAGCAACAAAGATGAAGACAACAGTGCAAACAATGTAAATAGTGTAAACAAATATTTTCATATTTATCACAATTTATGGCTGTTTTGAAGTAACTAAATTTAGAAAAGGGCTTAGAGAATTCAACACTCACAAGACACACTGAAGACAAAGCAAGTTGAGAAACACAGAATACCGCAAAGGTAAGGTGAGTTCATAAGGAAGTAATTATTGCTGAAAATAATAAAAGGCAGAAAACTGAGGAATGTCATGATCACTCTTATTCTGAAGGAACATGTCATATAGGGAAAGAACACAACAAAATTATATGAGTTCTCAGTATCAAGTCTAAGGAGGCCTATATATATATATATATATATATATATATATATATATATATATATATATATGTGTGTGTTTGTTACGTATATTTTGGCAGCATATTTTCATTAAGATATGTCTCACTGAATAATTTAGACAAGTTTTGCTGACTTATTTTCAATAGTATCCTCTAATATTAACAGATAAGCTTCTTAGCATCCTTATTAAAGGAAGGAGAAAATTACCATGCTGATACATATTCATTTATTCCGAGTACTTTCGACATTAGCACAATGTCATCATCAGGTGTTGATTTTTTTTTCTAAGACAAAATTGTTGTGTTCATCTGAAAGTTAAATTTCTGTCAAGAGAAAAATGCTAAGGTTAATACTGTACGATTTAAATTTCACTAAAAAAAAAACAGATGGACATTTCAAAACTTAGTTACTTCCCCTGACATTTACATCAGGAAAGCCATCACTGAATATGTATATCAAGCTCTTGATAATAATGACGAAGCTTGAGCTGTGGCACTAGATATCTCAAAGGCATTTGACAGGGTTTGGAATGATGGTCTTCTATGCAAATTTCAGGGCTATGGCATTACAGGATGACTGATTTAATCCAATCATTCTTATCAAATAATTAAATAAAGGTCATTCTGAATGGACATGCTTTCATATCCTTTCTCACGAATGTGGGTGTCCATTAAGGTTCTATACTGGGTTCCACACTGGTTCTGATCTTCATCAATGATCTTCCTGATGACATCAATTCCCAAGTAGGCATTTATGCAGATGACACTATCATTTACTCTTGTCTCAATAGAAAATGCATCAGATCTGACAAAGCTAACCTGGCTGCTGCTCTTGAAAAGGACCTTTAATCACTGGGGCAAGATATGGCTTGTAAATTTTAGAGTCTCAAAAACTAAACTGCCCTCATTTAACCACCATAGAGAAACTTCCCTGCCCACCAGAAGCATGGCTGATGCTCAACTCCAGGAGAGCGTTTCATTGTGCCTTCTTGGCCTCACGTTTTAAACTGACTTGATGTAGAACAACTACATTGAATCAATAGCTGCATCTACTGCAAGGAAAGTTAGTTCATTGTGTCGTGCCAGAAAGTTTTTCTCGTCATAGTCCATCTTGCACATTTACAAAACTACTATTTGTCTGTGCATTGAATACTGTTGCCATATTTGATCTGGTGACCCTACTGTTCATCTCAAGGTTCTTGACAAAATCCAAAGATTGATCTGCAATGTAATCGATCCCGAGATGCCATCTTGACTTCCATCATTTTCTCACAGATGTGATGTGACTTCCCTCTCTCTATTCTACAAATATTCTCATGGCAACTGCTCTGACAAGCATTTTTCCCTGGTGCCCAGACTACAAGAATTTAAGTCTACTACAAGATTGGCATCTAGGCCCCACCCTTTTACTGTTGAGTAGCTAAATGCAATTGCCATTTCTACTCCAACAGTTTCTCTGTTCACACTTCTTGACAGTGGAACTCCCTTCCACTTACTTGCTTTCTTGGTAACTACAATCTTCAAAAATTTAAATGCAACATCAATTGCCATTTTCTGTTGTCTTGAACCTCATTCATTTTTTATCTTTTCTTCAATCCCCTCTATCCCCACTCTTTTCTCTCACTTTCACTCTCTGTAATCCTCAGCATACTAGTGGCACTCCTGCCTTATTTGGGGTGAAATGATTAAAAAATAGTTTGGAATGCTAAATTACAAGATTTTCAGTAATATTAATCAGACAAAAGGACTAATTAAAATTGATAATAAGTTTTATTTATTTATAATTTCAAATATTACTTCTCCTGTGTTTGATTTGAAATTTTTTTCTTTCAAAACACCTAAAAAGTTCTCAGCTGAACTCATATTCCAAAATTTGACCAAACATTAGAATTCTTGGTTGTGCTGATAACGTTTCAGGAACTTCTCATAAAATTCATAAGCTTGATAACCAAAGTAAAAGAAACTACATACATAAAAGTCAGTATTTTTTGCTTCATAACGTACAAAATGTCACTCTATAAGATAAGATATAGTATATTATAGTAATTATAGTATATTATAGTAATAATTATAATGTAGTATAATAGAACAGTAATTCACAAAAGTATGTTAGTATGACTTAATTTGTTTACTTATTTTTATATAAAATGTTTTCATTTTTAATGTTTTTGGAATTCATCTCTCTAGGTTATTTTAATTCTTCTTTCTGTCTTGTTAAGCTGTTAGTATATCAGGGGTACAATAAACGCATCTAGTGGACATTGGAGACTAAAGAAGATCAAAATATTTCTTCTCTCTTTCAAAGTATACCATTTAGGTATTTTATACTAAACAGTTTTGTTATTTATAGCAAATTGATAAATATAATTTTTTTTAAATAGTACAAGGTCATTAATTGATATAGAAATCGAAAAAGTGGGGTGGTGGGTAAACATATAACAGAAAGAGAAAAAGAGATAGAAATAGGATATAAATTAAAAGCACATGAAATAGCCAAGCAAAAAGAGAAAAGAGAGAGTAAAAAAATAAGAGAGGGTGAAATAAGAGAGGATTACAAACAAAAAAAAAAGAAAGAAAAAAGAGAAAAGAAGATAAAAGAGAAAAATGAAAAGAAAGGAAGAAAAAAATAAAGAGGAAAGCAAACAAAGGAAAAAGAAAAAGGTGAAAGAAAGGACAGAAATAGCAAAAAGAAAAGTAAAGGGAAAAAGAAAGAAAAAGGTAGAAAGGAGGAAAGAAAGAGAAGAGGAGAGACTTCTTTCTTTCCAAGTATCATACTTGAGATTTTTATCCTAAACAGTTTTACTATTTATAGCAAACAGATAAATATCAAGGTATCTAGATAGCAAATTAGTTGTGACCAAAATAGGTATTGTTTGTCAGTTTTGTTTTTCCTTCAAATTTTTACTTGAATGTCTGACTGATAATAAATTTAACAAATGTTACTACAAAGGTAAAGTTTTGTTCTGACATCAGCTAGTTTTCCCCTCAATATTTGGAAGAATTACAGATATTCCACAATTCCTGGAAATGAAACTTCAATGAGAATATTAGATCATACAATCCAACTCTTTGTATCCATGGATCTACAGATTGTTGACCCAACTGGACCAGGTCATTATTTTGTATTTCATTTTCAGATGACTTTAAGTATCAATAAACTTGAATTATTTTGAACTATTATTCTGATTTTGGTTATGGATGTTATTACAGACACATTTCAGCCAAGTACCCTCTTGCCATCATCAGGTGGCTGAAATAATTAAAGTATACTTGTAGCATACCTATGGATTATAATGGGTATGTCCCCATTCACATAAATATCATAGTAAATACTGTATGTTGGTCTGCAGTTGGAGATTCATTGTGGAATTCACTTGACTCACTTCTAACAGCTGACTACTTCTTCTATGTGTTTCTGGCAAATCTTATATGTGTTGTTCTTGTCTGAAGTATTATCATTTATTACCAACCTTCATTTGATTATTCTATTTAGTAGCCTTCCCTAGGTTACAACAATACTGAAAATTACTCACCTCAAAATAAAATACAAAATTAATGAAAAGCAGTACAAACTCATCATGATAATCAAATATTGAAGCTCTTTGAATATAAAGGTCCAGAGATACACCACTGATGTTCTTCAATGGCATAATTAGTTGGTTATAATGGGTGGTTGAAAAGTAACTCCCTATTTTATGTAAGATGGATTCTCCTGTCTAACTATAATTTTTACAAGATGGAAGAGTCCATCATACATAAAAATAGGGAGTTACTTTATAATCACCCTGTACATGTATTACTGTCATTATGTGGTCATGAGTTCAATCCCTGGATAAGGCAGTGAAACACTGGTTCAGCAGGAATGAACAATAACTGATATCAAAGACATAATATCCCAATAATCAACAGATATCGCATATCAGCTAATCGATGGACACCTGAAAATGACAGAGGGTACTTTGTCGAAATGTTGTGTCAATAATAATATCTATAACAATAAAGATATGAACAATATCTTGAAATAATTAATGTATATAGTCTTTATTGCTTCAAAGTGTTTAGTTAAATTTATCACTTAAAAATCTGATATGATAGATAATATGCTAGTTGACAAATAATTTCTCTATTGTGACAGTTTCAAGATAATTTTCTTTGGAACTGCACCCTCAAAATTCACCCTATCTCTTCTGTAATTCTTCTTAACATTGAAACATAAAATCAATGACTAGAAACAAAACAATGTTCTAGGAATTTTTTTCATCAATAACACTTGTCCATTACATTGGATTATCCTATGATTGCTTATCTTTTCATTGTCCAGATTAGCTGTTTTTAGAAATTGATGAGTTGCCATTTTTTCTTTCTGCAAGAGTCTTCTAATTAGGACAGGATCATCTAAATCCTTTCAAAGAACTTCTGGCTATGAAATCATTTTGAAATATTACAGCTGATTATCCTCAGCTCTGTTCCGTTTGTTTGACTCAGCTTTTATTGACTGATATAAAGATAATTGCTTTCGACTGATATCCTTATCTTTTTCACCCATCTCAGTACATTTAATTAGGCCATTTTATTTTTAGCACACATTAATAACGAGTTGAAATATGATCCTATAGTAAAGCTGCTTATAACACACACAAAAACAGAAATATTATCGATAATGTGAAAATATGAGAAACACAATGATATCTTTATGCTGGAATTTTTGCAATGAGGAACTATCCTTAATTTATATCTTTCCATTTAGATAAGTCAATTCAATTTGGGTGCTATATTCGTAACAGGAGAGAAGGTAAACAAGATAATACCAGTCAAGGTGAAGACAGAAAAGAAAATTATGACAGTGGAAAAATGTGAAGGGGCCTACAGTCAATGTTCCAAAGATCAGCAGTTACATAAAATGTTCCCTAAAAGATGGGAGTGGACAGTTTACTGTGGGTACCTTCACATTTTTTCCACTGTTGTCACAAGAAACATTAAAGAAAGCCTTTAACCAGCAGTGGATACAAAATGATAAATTATGATGATATATGCAATAATTTTCATTTTCCTATATATTTAGAAAACAGTATTTTCATATATTTATAAGTAGGTTGTAAAATAGTCTATCATTAATGAGAAAACAAAATAAGACAAAATTTAACACATTATAATTCAATGTGAAAAGGAAAGTAGTAAATCAGACCTTGTTTTGTGTTCAGCTCTTTTTTGGCGCTAAAAATATTCAATGTGTCCAAATGTATCCAGAAGTTGTTTTCCTTACCTGAAACAAAAAATAAAATAGAACATTACAAAAAAAAAAAAAAAAATTCAGCAAAAAGTTATAAAAAATTTCTTTTCTAGTTACACTGATAAAAAAAAAAGACTTGAAGCAGCAGAAATATAATTCTACAGAAGGATGTTGAGAATACCATGGACTGAACATCTATGTAACAAGGACGTTTCAGGGAAAATGAAAAAAAAAGTAATGTTTATACTTAGAATCAGAAAGAGGTAAAATTTCTAGGACATGTAATGAGGAAAGACAGCTTGGAGAATTTGACACACACAACATATTGAGGGACAGAAGAAAGCAGCTTTTATCAATGGATGGCAGAATGGGGACTGAGAGGGATGATGAAAAGTCAAAATTTGCTAAGAGCTACAAAGGACAGGAAGCTGCAGAGAGTCACGATTGGTCACATCCTGAAGGTACATGACATATAGAAGAAGAATCAAGACAGAAAAGGAAATGATTTTTGGTTATTTAAAATAGACAATGAAAAAGAAAAATTTTAGACTTTTAAAAGTTTAAAGAAAACCACAAAGTATATTACCACAGTTAAATTCCCTTTTTTTTTTAAAAATACCATGTCCCAATAGCATGCAGGTGATCATGGTTCTCCACAGAACCCATTTATTTATTATCTGTGAACTGCCATGCCTTCTTGGAAAAATAAAATAGTGGAGTTGTTTTCTGTTGCTTTCTCTGGTCTTTTGAATTCAGAGTTGTCCTTCTCCAAGATTGGTTGTCAGCAAAACTTGAGAGCCTGGTCTACCATGTTATTTAATTCATAACTACAGGTAGAAGAAATGTTTTTTTTTTATGCCTTTCCAAGGGCATCTGTGTGAAAGTGAGTGCAACAGACTAGACTAGAATTTGAACTTGGTTCAATGATTTCACTTTCTATGCTGATAACTGTTATGTTACATGTACTTCCAAGTTAGAAATTAATCATACCCCAAAATTAGAAATTAATCATACCCCAAAATTACCAATTAAAATGCCAAATTTTTTTGTATTTTCAAATTTAAATTAAATTCTTTTATTCATATGAATTCATTTGGGCCTCTTTTACACATTGCAACCTCTTTCCCCACAGATATAACATCACAAAGCTATTGCTCCTGGATGGTTATTTCCATAATAAATGTCCAGAGGGATCCATTGTTTAGTTATTGTTATACACAAATAAAGTGTTGCTGCTGACACTTGAGTTTGAACATAGATCACCAGTGAGCAAACACAGGCGATCCCATTATTGAATCAAGTAGACCATGTGACCATAGAGGAAATGCATATATGTAGGAAGTAGCTGAGGACAAATGATCGCTATATTCTAATATGTCCTCTATTATTATATGGTTTGCTATTCTCTATACTATTCCTCTATACTGATCACTATATAGTGGTTACTTTCAAGCAAGTATTATTGAGCAAGTACTATTAGTGCGAGTGATATTCAAAGGCATTTGACATCAGTATTGTTCAATGGCATACTATAGTTGTATTTGCAAATACAAAGTCCATAATACAATGAGCATTACGAAAGTGACATTGAGTATTTGTTAACATCACAAAAGTTATTTTCAAACTCCAAAATGAAACTTCTCTCTGTTAATATCTAAGAGAACCCTTTTTGGCTTCTGTAAGCATGGCTGCTGCTAACCTCCAGGAGAGTGACTCATTGTGTCTTTGGTTTGCTTTATGGAATATCATCATCAATGGGTTATTTAATGCCAACAAGATTTTTTATTGCCAGTAATATTTTTCAAAAATTGTACTGCTGGTAATATTTTTTTTCCCTCCAAAATATATTGCTGGTTATATTTTGTTTTTTCAAAAATGTATTGCTGGTAATAATTTTTCCTTCAAAAATTCATTGCTGGTAATAACTTTTTACAAAAATGTGTTGCTGGTACTAAAACATATTTTTACACTTCCATAGTGTTGTGACTTCAGTTTAGTTCAACTATTTGTCCATAGCTGGGACCCTAACAGGTGCTACCACCCTGAGTCAGGGTGGACCTGGGAACACCAAAAATTAAGAGGCAGTTCCTCGCTCCTCAAAACATTCTGATCAGAGGCCATGCTGTCAGACATAGTTTGTCATCTTACCCAGGACCTGGATGTAGTTTATTGTCATACCCAGGATGGACTGTGTCTTCTTAGAGTAACATTTTCAGTTGACATGAAGTGCAAAGATTATATTGAATCAATTGCTAGGTTTGCTGATAGGACAGTTGGTTCACTATGTTGTGTTAGACAATCCTTCGTGTCAGAATCTATCTTACTTATTTATAAGTCTACCCTTCATCCATGCTTTGAATATTACCACCACGCCTAGTCTGGTGCTCCTGCTATATATATATATAGAGATTCTAGATAAAATCCAAAGGAGCATCTGTGTTGTTATTGATCCTGACCTAGCACCTCAGCTTCAGTCACTTTCCCACCACCATAATGTAGTTTCCCTGCACCTTTTCTATAAATACCTTCATGGTAATTGTTCT